AAGGAGAAAGGTGTGAAGAATATGGACTACAATTGCTCTAGTAAATGGTATTCATGGAACGCAACCATTTGTATTAACAAAAGGGACATATGGTGACTACACACACATATATATATTCATAAAGCATCACTATTAGATCATACAACAAATCGATAGCATTTGTTGCCTGTAGAGAGGAAAGATGTAGTAAAATTTGCTAAATGTTTCCCCCTTGTGCCCTTTTTGCACCGTGTAAATACATTACTGATTGCAAAACAGATTTTTGTAAAGTTATTTCATTGGGTGATGAGGGAATGAACCAGAAGTTGGAACCTGGATTCTAGTTCTGTCACTCAGTATCAATCTGTGTGAATTTAGAGAAAATTCCCTGGACCTCAATTTCCTCCCCTGAGAGTAAAATCAGCTCTTACATCCAGCTCCTCCCTCTTAGGATTTGCCACTCAACAGGGAGCAAGCACAGTGCCTCAGCAGACGAAAAGGGCAAAAAGATATATGACAAGTCTAAGAGCAAGCCTAGAAGAGAAAAACTAGGAGAGGCCAAGTGTAATAGACTTACAGTGAGAGGGAAGGTAGTAGAGATGCTGAAGCTGGTGGAAAGGTAGGATGGAACAGTGTTTCTAGTAGCAACCCCACCATGGGAGGGTGGGAAAAATGAGCATGTGATGAGCTAAACCCACAGTGGAGAGGTCCTCCTTGCTGTCATTCACCAATACAGCCACACACACACACACACACCCATGACGATGAGACATGTGCTCAGGGCCTGTGACACTGCAACCACTTCTGTGACTCCAGAGGCCACTGGTAGTACAGGCGAAGGAGGTGTCAGAGAGGACTACTAGGCTTCGGGCAGAGGTTGGGGAGAGGAGAACAAATGGGAAGGGAAAGAAGAGAGAGGGAGATAGAGTGAGAGAGAGCCTTGGGCAGCACAGAGACGGGAAAAGAAAGAGGAAGAAGGAGAAATAGATAAGGGGATTCACAGGCAGACCCATAAAAGACCACCTGTCCCATCATATCAATGAACTTGAATGTTAAAAGTAGCATTGACTCATCACTGTAAGCAGCAAAGTCCTAAAACAAAGTGCACTATGCCCTGGCCCATTTTCTCAGTGGTTAGAGTGTCTTCCTGCAGACCAAATGGTATTGGGTTCATTTCCCAGTCAAGAGCATGTACCTCGGCTGATGGTTCATCCTCACCCTGGTTGGGGTGCAAGTGGGAGGCAGCCAATCAATGTGTCTCTTTTATAACAATGTTTCTCCCTCCCACCCCCACCTTCCTTCCACTCTCTCTAGAATCAATGGGTGGAGGGAGAGGGGAGAAATGTCCTCAGGTGAAAATTTTAAAAAAAGTGCACTATGCATTCTAAGCAGGGACACCAAGAACCCATCATTAATGTCCCCTCTCCTCACCTACCACCTCCATTAAACCCCAGCAGTAAGAGGACAAATAAGAACCTGTGACCATCAGCAGTAAGACTGGGGGCTGCAAGGACCAGGTCCAGCATAACAGGCATGGTGGGCTTATCCTTCACATGGCTGGAGGGTCCCTTTCTAAGGATGTTGACATCGAAGGTCCCATCGCAAGAGCAGAATATACAGGAGTAACAGTTGAAGGCACTGGCGACGTATAGCCCAGAGAACAAAAGGCCGCCTTATTAGGTAGACCACAAGAGCCCCTTTTAGCAGTGATGTGCTCTGATTCCATAAAATATTTCAAAGGGTTCTCATGCGAAAGAAAGATCATTTTTTTTCAGCTCCTAATGGATAAATTAGAGAAAATTACAAGGAGACGGATTCCAATTTGAGGAAAGGATGAAGCTTTAAGCACTGCCAGGTGTTCCAGAATAGGATGGTGGACTGTCCCTGAGAGGTTGTGTAGAGGGGTTTCCCTACAGCAGGTGAGGAGCAGGGTCAGGTGGTACCTCGGACACTTTCCAGTGCCAGACCCGTGTAGCAGGGCGTGGGGACAATAGAAACATTGCGGGGGGGGGGGGGGGGGGGGCTCCAGTGAGGCCTAATGGAGCCAACAAAAGTGTCAGCTTCTAAAATAAGATTATAAAAACATTATTTTAAAAAATTGCATTGACTTCAATGGACCCCTTTCTCCCAAGAAACTCATTTCATGGAAGAAAGAGCTTATTATTAATGGTGGTGGTCACACGGCAGAATGTGGACTGGCTGGCCACTGGCCCTTCTGTTGCTGCACACAAGCACCACACAGAATGCCAGGTTGTAGAGCAACAGATGTTTTGGAGATAAACAAGAAAAGGGAAATGTTCTTAAAAGCTTATTATTGGGAAATCAGGAAGCTGAATTCTAATTTCTTGGTGGACGGGTTATGTGGGTATGCCCTGTGAATTTGTCTTTCCGGCCAAGTGTCTGCCAGGCTGGGAAAGCTCATTCACACGAACTGTCCTGTCCATGTGGCTGAAAGAGCAGAGATAGTGTGGGGTAGGGTTTGAGAGCACAAGGGATGGGGCCAGACTGCCTGGGGTCCAGGGCTGCTTTCCTGCTTAGGGGCTGTGGGGCTTAGGAAGAGTGGCTCAACCTCTCTCTGATAGGGATTCCTTCGTTCTGAAGTAAAGAAATTTATTATCTGCCCATAGGATTATTTTGAGGATTGGACATTTACAATGGTGTTGACACATATTTAGTGTAAGCCACTTAGAACTGGACCTAGTGCTTAGGAAGCACTATATTTCTTATTATATTGTTGTTATCTATCATAATACTTTTTTAATCCTCACCCCAGGATATATTTTTACTGGTTCCAGAGAAAGAGGAAGGGGAGCGAGGCAGAGAGAAACATTGATGTGTGAAAGAAACATCTATCGGTTGACTCCTGCATGTGCCCTGACCAGGAGCAAACCTGAAACCCGAGCATGTGCCCTGACCAGGAATCAAACCTGCAAGCTTTTGGTTTATGGGGACGATGCTCCAACCAACTGACCACCGGACCAGGGTTATCAATGTTTTAGAGAGAAGCATGATGGAGAGGGAAAATCTTGGACTTGGGAATGAGTTGGAGCTGAATTCAGTTCCTGCTCTCCAAGCCCCTTGGTTTAACAACTGTAAAAACAAACAAACAAAAATTTCCCCTGCAGGGTTGGAATGAGAAATTAAATACAATATGTTTATGTGTCCAGTTCAGTGCCTGGCATATAGAAATATTCAAGCAACCTTAGTTCCTTCCCCCTCTTTGAATCTGTGCCAGGGTGCTGTGCTAAGAGGTAGGAACATAAATGTGAATGAGTGAGGTGGGCGTCCTCCTCAAAGGACTCACATCCAGAAGGCCTGGACACAAGCAGTGATAAGGTGCTACAAGGGCTATGAGGGAAGTATCCATCCAGTTACCTAATAGGCAATATTTAAAGAAAGAGTTGAACTTCACTGAGTTGGTTAAAGTATTGGTCAGGGAGGAGGTGGGGGCATTTCGGGCTGTGTAGGGAACACACTGTGTACCTCTGTCATAAAGAGAGCCACTGGTCACAGCTTGGGGTCACCATTCATCGCTGAGACAGCCTCTGGATTTCCGGACCAAGACCGTGCAGGGCACCCCTTCCCCTCTGGGGAAGCGACCACCTGAGCATTAACAGGAACACCCTGGCAGAGAAGACCCTCAGGAGCTCATGTGTACGTTTCCATGAAGAAATTTCCAAGAAAGGAAAAGCCTAAGCTAGCTGGACAAATCAGAAACATAAAATGCCCTCAAAGTTTCTAGAAGACAGAGCCTGGTTCCGCCCGGAGCTCAGATGCTGGAAGGTGGCCCATGTGTGCCCGCTGTTTCATCAGGAACTGCATGGAGCTCACGAGGTTGCCCCACCTCGGCTGGGATACGTGTCTCTAAGGCACCTCCCAGGACTGCTGGGACTGGGCTGAGAGCACTGGTGTGTGAGCCATTGTTAGGGATCTCATAAAACTGGCAGATTCAAACCCCCCTGTCTCCTAAAGACTGCAACAGACATCTTCAAAGAACCGAATCCAAAGTGGAATTTCAGCAAAGCCCAACTTCCACAGCTTGTGCTCCAGGTGAATGAGAAGGGGCTCAAGGGGTTGTGTATACTGTGTATGTTATATGCATGTGTGTTGTGTTTATGTATGTATATGTGTGGGTGAGTGGGGATGTGTAGAGCTCCAATGTCCTCTTCCCCGGAGACCAGGGGCAGGGAATTGCAATGCTGACAGGATGCCCTTCAGATAGGTAGGGAGGTAAAGCCCACCCAGCACCTCTCAGACACCAACTGCTCATTTAACAGATCTGCCCGAGTGCCCTCCCACCCCACTCCCACCCGCCACCCTCCCCCCCCCCCCCCCCCCCACTACCCAACCCATCAAAATCTACTCTCCTGGAAAAGTCTAGAAAACTCCTTTATCCCATAGAGTCATGAGGCTGGAAGTGTTATCTGTTTCCGTGAGGCCTCAGTGAGTCAAGTATTTGGAAAGTAGGGGTAGACCTACTGTGCACCTCACATCAACACATCCATTGGTACCTACCACCCACTAAGTGCACACATGCACACTCACATAGAACATGTATACCGTCATTCTATCCTACACACACCACACCCACTCAAATGGCCACAGTACAGCATGTGCAAACAAGCTCACATGTGTGAGATACACGGAAATGCCTGTTCCCAGACACATGCACACCCCATCCACACTCAGGGCACGGTACCCACTCAAATATTTACTTGTGCGAATGCTCACATACCCAGTGGCACACTCACAGCCCACCTCACACAGTCAGAAGGGCTCTCACACCTAATTGCACAGGGTCCCCGTCCACAGCCTGCATCCACTGCATGCCTCTGCTATCAGCCCGCACACCCCAGCACATCTGTACAGTGTGTCCCCCACCCCGCGACTCCAGCAAGCAAGCGGCTTCCCGCTCGGTGTGCAGCGGCCACAGTGGCCGGGAATTAAAATGCAGCGAGGAGGAGCCGGGCGCGTCAGCACCGCGTCTCCTGGAGCGCAGGGCGCTCGCCACCGCCGCCCCGCCCGCCCGGAGCCGCGGGGCCAGTGCGCGGAGGAGCAGGAGCTCGGAGCCCAGTCGCGCCGGCACCGCGCGCGGCCGCTGCCCAAGTTCGCCCCGGGGCCCGAGGAGGGCCGGGCAGGCAGGAAAGCGGGGCAGCCGGCGCCGCCTCCACCGGGGGCTTGGAGTCTCGAGAGGAGAAGGGCTCGAGGAGCAGCGAGTTGGGGTCACCCCCGGGAGGTGTAAGCGGGCGCTCCGCAGTCCCTGGCACCTGGTGCCGCCGGGGCAGGGAGGAGAAGAGGCAGCGGACAGCGAGACCCCGCGTTGGAAGACTCGAGGCACCCCGGAAAGCAGACTAAAGAAACGACGCGTCCATCTGGCCAGTCTCTTCGACGGGGGCCCAGCAGCCGCCGGCAGCTCCAACAGGACGCCCCAAGAGCCCCCGGCCCCAGGCGGGAGGGGGCGCAGGCCACGCAGGGCTCGGGAGCGGGGCTTGCGGGAATCTCAGCCAGCCTCCGCGGAGCGCAGCCGGAGAAGCAGTGAGGAGGGTTCGGGAGGGAAGAAGGGAAAGAGGGCAGCAGCCTACTGAGCGACCACTCACCCCAGTACACACCCACCCCACCCGCCGAGCCCCGGGCCGCGGGAGCCTCTGGGGGCGCTCATTCCCAGGCGACTTCTCTTCCGTGTCCCAGCCCCGCTGGGCTACGGACCAGGCTGGCGGGGTCCTTCGGAATGTCCAAACCGGGCATGGTGGCCGAGGGGCGGCTCTCCCGGGACCAGCGTCCAAGCTGGGGTTAGGCGAAGAGGGGGGGGCTCAGGTCAGGGTCCCCCGAGAGACAGGACGCAGGGAGGCGGGCGCAGCGCCCGGGGACTGGAGAGGCGGCGCCCGGCGGGGACCCGGGCAGAGGTGGTGCCTGGCGTCGGGCTTCCTTCGGGAAGACAGGGGCCAGGGAGTGTAGGGGGCACTTGGGAGAGGCCAGCGCCAGGGGCAGCGGGCCGCGGCGGCGCTCGGTCCCGGGCGGGCGGGCGGGCGCCCGCGGAGGCGGCAGCGGCGGCGCCGGGCGGGCATGCCGCGCCAGCGGAGCTCCTCTCGGGCGCACGCTTCCCTGGCGCGGGCTGCGCGCGGCGGCTGCTGCTGCTGCTGCTCCCACTGCTGCTGCGGACTCCCATGGCGGCTCCGCCCGGCCGAGACCGCCGCTGCCGCCAGCCAAGGACTGAATGAATGAGCCGGAGCGGTGGAGCCGGGCTGCCCCCGGCCGCGCTCGCCGGCCCGGGACGCTTCCGCATGGCCCGCGAGGAGCCGGCGGCGGCGGCGGTGGCGGCGGCCGGGCAGCCCGGGAGCGGCAGGGGCGGCGCGCGCGAGCGGGCGCTGCAGGGGCCGGGGGTCGCCCGCAGGGGGCGGCCGTCGCTGAGCCGCGCTAAGCTGCACGGGCTGCGGCACATGTGCGCGGGGCGCGCGGCGGCGGGGGGCTCCTTCCAGCGGCGGGCGCTGTGGGTGCTGGCCTTCTGCACGTCCCTTGGTTTGCTGCTGTCCTGGTCCTCGAACCGCCTGCTCTACTGGCTCAGCTTCCCGTCGCACACGCGGGTGCACCGCGAGTGGAGCCGCCAGCTGCCCTTCCCCGCCGTCACCGTGTGCAACAACAACCCGCTGCGCTTCCCGCGACTCTCCAAGGGGGACCTCTACTACGCCGGCCACTGGCTGGGGCTGCTGCTGCCCAACCGCACGGCGCGCCCGCTGGTGAGCGAGCTGCTGAGGGGCGACGAGCCGCGCCGCCAGTGGTTCCGCAAGCTGGCCGACTTCCGCCTCTTCCTGCCGCCGCGCCACTTCGAGGGCATCAGCGCCGCCTTCATGGACCGCTTAGGCCACCAGCTGGAGGACATGCTGCTCTCCTGCAAGTACCGGGGCGAGCTCTGCGGCCCGCACAACTTCTCCTCCGTGAGTTGCCAGCCCTCCCTCCGCGCGAACGCTCGCTCCCTTTGCTTCCCCGCTCTCTAGAGTAGGAAGGTCCCCGCTCCAGGGGGCCGGGCATGGGGGTGTGGGTGCTGGATACTAGGCCCCTTGCGTTGACATCATTCCGTGACCCACTCCTGGGTCCCCTGTGCCTTCCCCTCCAGGTTGTGGGTAGTTGAACACAACTGTAGGAGAAGTCGCCTACTCTTCTGTACCTGCTTCTCTCCTTCCACTGTGCACCCCCAAGTCCTGGACTCTGCTCCTTAATCGCCCTTTTTGGGAATGCCAGGCCTCCTCCTCCAGGGCCTCACCTTGTCCTCTGCCCCCTCCCTTCCCTCCCATTCCAACTCCCGCTACCCCACCCACAGGACTCCAGGCAACTGTACTGGGTCGAAGGCATGGATGGCAGGAAAGAGAAGCAGGTCGTAAGTGTGGGCTTGTTGTCTTTGGGAAAACCAACAGGAAGTTCTTCCAAATTGGGCAGGGGCACACGCCGAGGCCCTAGCTTACCCATCTGAGAGCTACGGCTTCAGAGTGCCAAGACCCTTTCAATCTAGGAGGACTGAGGAGAAAACTCTCAGAATATTAACATGGGAGCTGTAGCCAGTTTGGCTGGGAAGACAGCAGTCCCTGCCACTACTTTTAAAAACGGCTTGTGTCTTCAGCACTCAGAGGTGTTGAGCAGTGGTGGGCACTGGCGGGCTCTTGCCCCCACCAGGTGTGACTAAGGGTCTTCGGGTCTGGAGGAGCCAAAGCCCTGCCGTGGGGAAAGCAGCGGGGCAGAGGTACTGATGGAGCAGCTGGGGCCGGGAGAAGCTGTGCTGGGGGTTTGTGAGCCGTTTGCTGTGCTGCTTCCCCCACGCTGTGGGTCTGGATAATGCAGCAGTTGCCCAGAAGGTAGATCTACCTTGAGCTGCTTGCCTGGGAGGAGTTTGGGTGCCAAGCCCCAGCATGGAGCGAGCCTGTGCAGCCATTTGTGTGTAAATGCCTCTTAGGTGGGTTTCTGCTTTCCCACAAATGCAGGGAATGTTGGTGTGTGTATTTATTTGTAGTGCTGCGATGGTGATTTTAGCAGCCCTAATGCATCACTTCTGACAGAGCTTTTTCTGGGGTGGTAAAGAGAGACCACCATTCCAACAGGTGTAGGCAAGTTAGGCCGGGCCTCTGGTTGGCTAATCATATTGGTCCTTGTCTAGAATGGTAACCCTGGCTTCAGTCGTGCCCTCCTTGCCTGGCTTTCAGCCTGTTTGTAGAGCCACCCTGAACTATTGCTTCCTGGGCTTTTTCATTTAATGACTACTCTACCTTAGGAAGCAGGAGATGTCGTGAATATTTGCTTCTAAGTGACTTCTTTCAAACTTCAAACACAATTCTGAGTTCCACAGAGATGAAGGAATGAGGCTACGGAGTGATGCCCTTTGGTTTGTTGTTGTTTGCCTGACCTCTAACTAGCAGCCCCCAGAGTTATAGTGAAGTTCAGTGTTACATTCAAGTAGCCGCTCCAGCTCCAAGTTACACCACGTGGCCCACCCTGTACAATCCTGCACCTCTGGTGGTTTTACAAGGGGTGCAGGATTGCGTGCTAACAGCCACTATTCACCGCTGTCATTCACCACAACCCTGTGTTCGCAATGAGTTTTATTCCCATTTAAAGATGAGGCTCTTAAACACTGTCCAAAGCTCAGAGCCAGCAAGTTCCAAGTCCAGCTTTGCATACCATCAAATCCCTGATAGAGAAGCCACATGTAACCTTTCTCTCTGACTCTGGGCTTGTCTCATATGAGAGGGCCCTAAGTGGGACTCTTTGCCCTCCCCTGTCCCCACCAAATCCCATCCCTCCTAGGAGATTGGTGGGGAGCACTGAAACTGGAGCTGAAACTGAAACTGGGTTCTAGGCAGTCACGTCCTTGGCCACATGTTACCTGGGCCTAAGTCAGCCCTGCATAAAGCACACAGACCTGCAGGAGCTGCCTGGCCTCAGCCTCCCCAGCAGGTGCAGGTATGGCCACAAGTTGAAGAAAGCAGGGTTCTTCCCACTGGGCAGACCCTTTTCTTCCCTCCCTGTGTTCTGCTTTCCTGCATTTGAAGAGTCTGCAGGCACACACCCAACCAACAAAGCACTACCTCCATTCCCCAAAGGTATGTGTTCCTGGGGACTCAAGCCACCTCTACTGGCTTCCTGTCATGGGAGTTTCCTGTCCCTTAACATGTCATGCTGTAGATTTTTTCCCCAAGGGTCTCAGAATAAAAGGCTGCACCCCTCTATCTTGGGAAGCAGCTATTTCAGGGGAGCCCTAAATACAGAGTGGACCCATGAGGAATACTTTTGTCTAAACATGCCACCCTGTCTCAAGCCTTTGTCATCTTTGGGGGAGTGGCACTATAGTGGAGTGGGTAAGAGCTGAATGAATGCTCAAGGCTGCCCTGATGTTTCAAATGCTGAGACTACCCCTTGCTGTGTGCCCTTGGACAAGTGACTTGATCTCTCTGTTCTGTAGTGTCTGCTCCATCTAGTGGAGGTAACAATGTAGGTATACCATATTAGTTGAGTGTGTGTGTGTGTAAATATTGATAGGTGTGTATACTATGCTGGGCCCTCATGAAAAGGTTGCCTTTAAATGTCACCAGCTTCTTATCTGACCTTTGGCCTCCAGCTCGGTACTCTGCAATGTGCATCCATCCTCCGAACTACCGACAGAGTGGTCTTTTTAAAGCTCCACTCTGAGCATGTCATCTTGATTTTTAAACCTGTCAGTGGCTCACCTGTCCTCAGGATGAGACCCAGTTCCTGGGGCCCTGCCGTCTCCTTTGCTCTGCAGACAGCTTACAACAGCTGGACCCACTCCTCCAGACTCTCTGCCTTGCTCTGCCCCATCCTCCCCCCGCCCCCCCCCACTCCTGCTGCTTTGTTAACCTGGGGACACCTCCTTCAACACCCAGCCCTGGGGATATTTCCTGACCACCTCCCCATTCTGCCCTCATCACCAAAGGGCGCCTTTCTCTTTCACCCTCTAGCAGTTTAGGTGTCAGTCCTCACATGTTTATGTCATCACACCTGCTGGTCTGTCTGTCTCCCCCTCCAGACCCAGCTAGCAGGGAGTCTGATTGCAAAGGTCTGGGGAATGGATATCCTCATCAGGTACCCCCAGGACTTCCTATGGTCCTGGGTCTTCTACTCCAAAGTTGGTGGCTTAATTTCTCTGGGAAATAGCAGTGGATGCATTTCTAATGAGTAAATGCCCAAATAATTTGGGGGAATTTATTCGTTTTGGGGACAAAGGGGGAGCAGGATGCCAAGCAAGGCCCCAAACACCTGTGCCTCCCAAGCCCTAAGAGGACTCGTGCAGCAGGTGAGGAATGAGCTCCCAGGGACACTTTGGGGAAATGTGCCAGCTCTCCCCAAGGTCTCACTCCACTCAGTAGACTCGTGGTCTGGAAATAAACTCAGCAGGAAGAGAGGAGTATCTTGGAGAGGCATCTGCTGAGTTTTATTGACCAGGCCCGCTCAGGGCGAGTTTCCGTGCAGCTCCTGGGTGTTGTAGCTGTGCAAGGGTGTGGAGAGCGGCTACAGTGTTTGAACAGGTTCAAGCCTGGGACTAATGAGAGGGCATGGTCCTCTCGTAGAAAAGCCACGTGCAAGTCCCAGCACAATTATAGCCAAAGGCTATGGTTGTAAGCTTGACCTTATGGTCCGAACCTGTGGTCCCAGGAGGCTGAGTGATATGGGCTGCAAGAGGTGCAGCAAATAAACAAATCTTGATTAGCTGCATGTGATTGAGTAGATTGGAAACCCAGGAGAAGGTTGTAAACATCTTGACCACACCCTTACTTTGCCTCTTGGAATCTGGGCTGTGAAATAAAGACTGAGCTTGAAGGCCGGGGCATTGTCTCTCCATCAGAAAGTGCAGCGTCCCCACCCAGCCCCAGCTTTCTTCTTTTGTCTGTCTTTTCTTAATCCTTCACCACCCCCTCTCAGGCTCACTGAACATGGCTTTCCTGGGGCAGCAGATAGGGCACTCAATGTGGGGCTGTGTATGGGGAGCAGGGGCCTGAGTTCAGGGGAACTACAGGTTCATCCATGACTGTGCCAGCTCAGCATCAGCCCTAGACCTCGGCCTCTGCACACTCTGGCTCTTCCAGGTTTTCTGGAGGGCGGAGGGCAGTCTTCCCAATAATTGGGCAGGATATAGAGTTGTGAGGCCATTCTATCTGGGCACTGGGGCCTTGGAAGGGGATTGAACTGGGGACGGGCCAACAGGCCAAGCAGTGTCCACTGTGAGAACAAAGAGCAGGGCCCCTCTCGGGGAGGAGGCAGCTTCAGAGGAAAGTGTCAGGCAGACCTGGTTCGGGGCTACAGCTCTGCCCCTTACTGGCCCTGGGTAGACACTTACCTCTCCAAGCCTCAGAGACCTGGGAAGAAGATAACATGTATGCAGTGACCACCCCATGCCTGGACAGTGTAGGTGCTTGATATTCAAGAACTATTATTATAATTTGAAGAAAGAGATCAACACAGATCTGGTGGTAGCAGTTACTAATTACTAGCAGTATAATTATTGTATCTTGTCATGACCTCAGTGGGAATATGCTCATTTCTTGGTTCATTTATTCAATCAGTGTCTATTGAGTGTCTACTATATGTTAAGCTTCCTTCTAGCTGCTGGGAATGTCAAATCCAATAAGGCTTGGTGTGGCGCATAGCACTGTTGAGGAACGAGATGTGTGAACAGGTGCCAGGAGTTCACAGGTGCTCTGTGGGCTCAGAGTGGTCCCCAGATCTGATGGGGACCTCTGATGGCTTCCTGAAGAGGTGACACTGGACCTGAGTCTGAAAGGAGCAATAGTAGTTGCAAGGTGGAGAAGGAGGGAAAGAGACGTCAGGGAAAAGGAACAGCTTGTGCAGGGGCCTGGAACAATGAGGTTGAACACAAGCTTTCTAGGCACTAAGGGTAGTTCAGGACAGCGGGCGGGAGGGCTGGGTGTGC